CCATGTACTACAGGGTAGCCAGAGGGATCTTTTAAAATGTAAATTAACTGGGCAAGCTGGCGCATGCCTATAATAATCCAGTGACTCCAGGCTGAGGCAGAAGGATCACAAGTTTGTGGCCAGCCTCAGCAATTTAGTAAGGTCCTAAAAGCAATTTAGCAAGACCTTGTCTTGGCTGGGGTTATGGCTTAGTGTTAAAGTGCCTCTAGGTTAAATCCCCAGTACATAACACACACACACACACACACACACACACACATACACACAGTAAATCAATTCACATCATTTTCTTGCTCACAATCTGCCTTTGTCTTTCCTTTGTATTCAGAGTGGAATCCAAAACCCAAACCCAGCCTTACAAAATCCCTCATTTCTTACTTGTTTTCTCCTTTATCCATTACTCTGTAGTCACCCTGGCTGTCTTTCTTTTCCTGAAACATGTTAAGCTTGTTCTTTGGTCCTAATTTCCTCTGCCAACATTGTTCTTGTCCCACTACTTAGCACTTTTGGCTTGTTCTCATCACTCTGATCTCTGCCCAAATATTACCTTAGCGATGCCTTTCCAGACTACTACCAAAATATTTCTTTTCTTTCTTTCTTTTTTTTTTTTAAAGAGAGAGAGTCTAGAGAGAGAGAGAATTTTAGTATTTATTTTTTAGTTATAGCGGACACAACATCTTTGTTTGTACGTGGTGCTGAGGATCGAAGCCGGGCCGCACGCATGCCAGGCAAGCGTGCTACCGCTTGAGCCACATCCCCAGCCCCCAAAATATTTCTTATCCCTGTCACCTACTGTCTTATTAATAGCACTTTATTGAAATTATTTGTTTAGCTTATGTCTTAGGGTATTTTTCTTTTTCCTTCTGCTGTCACTGAATACCACAGACTGGGTAATATATAAAGATTTATATAGTATATATAAAAAGATTTGTTTAGCTCACAGGTCTAGAGGCTGGGAAGTCTAAAAACATCACACTAATGAGGTCTTTCCTGGATTATAACCTTGCAGAGGACATCACATAGACAGAGCGAGAGTACCACAGAGAGTTTGTTACTTTTGTTACAGAACCACTTCTTCAATAACCCATTAATCCATTTATGAGGAGAGCTCTCATGACCTAGTGACCTTCCAAAGGTCCTACTTTCAAACATATGACTTTGGAGGTTTAATTTCCAATATACAAATTCTGGAAGACACATTCAAACCATAGCAGCTTATTTATTGTTTATCTCTCCTTTTATAGACTGTATAAGGTCTATTGTATTTTTTTAAAAATATTTTTTAGTTGTTGATGGACCTTTATTTTATTTATTTGTATGTGGTGCTGAGAATTGAACCCAGTGCCTCATGCATGCTAGGCAAGTGCGATACCACTAAGCCACAACCCCAGCCCCAAGGCATGTTCTATTAAGGGAACTTTTTTGTTTAATTTACTGTTATATCTTGTGTTTGAAAAGTACCTGCACATGCACATAAGTATACACAATCTATTTACTGAATATAGGAGTACTTTTGTACATGTATTTAGGATGAGAAAACGTCTCTGAAGTTAACTCTTCAGGTGATTGTCATTATTTTGTTTCAGTATAATGAATTCTGTACTTTGGTTATGAGGGAGAGGACAAAACCCATTTTCAAACATAAGTACATAATATGCACATGTTTAAGTCAGGGGTTTTACATAAAACTCATTACAATTATTTTATTAAATTTGAATTAATAATCGTGAGCTAATTACTGGATTTTTTAAAAGTATTTTTTAAGAATAAAGACCACTGGTAAATTTTTGTGAATATTTTATAAAATTGAGACATTTCTCTGTTTCAAATACTTAAATTGTGTTGGATTTTTGCAAATAGGTTGCTGATGTATGACTGTAAAAATCACTTCATGGTATTTACCAAGTTAAATAATCACAGTTTAAACAGTCATTTAATTTTTTGAGCTTCATGTCATTTATTATACTCAGTAGGGGCTTTGTGAACTGCTGAAAAGGCAAAGCAAAAGAATTTCTGATTCACCATGTTTAGTTTAGGTCACACAACTAGGAATATAAGCTAAAAATCTTATTTTCAGTGGCCTGCATTCCAAATAGATTTTTGTCAGTTTGATAAATATGTCAAATATTTTACTTTTTTGTCAGAAACAACTTTTTCATAAAACCCGACTTGTGAGCACCATAATGTGCAAGTATTAGGCAGTACTACGCCTGGCTTTGATTTGTTTCCAGATTTGCAGACATTTGGAATGTCCAGGAAACCCTATCAACCCCTCTTACTAATCTTGGCTTTAATGATTTTGGAATGAAACTCATAAAAGTTAGCTATAAAATTGAAAATATGTTTATTATATGTAAAATGCTGTTGTAATTAATGAGTTTTTATTCATGATCTTTTACAAGTTGTCACTTAAATTCTTTGAAGATTATATCTTAATTGTTCTCAAATAGACATTGATTTTTAATATAGGTAGAAGACTTTTTGAATCTTTCCACAAAGCTGTCTGGATTTCATATTTGTATTGATAAAGGAACTTTTGATGCCATCAGCCTTAATCCTGACAATGCAGTTGAGAAGAGGAAGCAGTATGTGAAATCTCTCTCCAGCGTGTTAAGAGTAAAAGGTTTTTTCCTAATAACTTCATGTAATTGGACCAAGGAAGAGTTGCTAAATGAATTCAGTGAAGGTAAATGGCTACGTGATATTTAACTATGTGCTTACTTCAGGTTTCTTGTATTTAACTGGGTTTTTCCCCTTGGTGCTGTAGTGTTTTACTTTCCTATTTGTGGGAATTGCTTGCTTTTCTTCTCTATTAATGACCTTGGTAATAACTTTTAACTGTATATACAAAGCACAGAGAAATAACATTGGTTGAGATCCAGAGGCCTTTTAAAAAAATTTCCCCAGAAATTCTGGCAGTTAAGTACTAAAATTTATGAGCTAGTAAAAATCAAGTTTTTATTTCAGTGATGCAATCTATTATTTAGAGAATCAAAATTATATATATTGTGCTTTTGACTTCAATGCACTGATTCACTGTCAAATCCATAATAATGCATATGAACATAGTTTTTTAAGGTCTTACATCATGAGAGTTTAATTTTATAGATAGATGTTCTATATATAATTTTGCTCCAGTTGTCATTTAGGTATTTAGGATTTGTCTTGTTTTCAGTGTATATATAACAGTTAACATTGCACAGAAACAAAATTGGGAGAATTGCTAGAAGTTCTACCTACTTATTCTTAAGGAAATTTCTGCCTTTTTTCAAAGTTTTGGTCCAAATCAGGAGCTCTTTTTGTCCCATTAGCCAAGTCTAATTATTAGTGCTGTCTTTACTAATTGGGGTCTGGTGAGGATTGAGGAAGCTATAATCTATACACAAAACATTTTGAATTCTTTGACAGACTGTTTCTTGAATGTTTTAAGAAACATTTTATCTGCCAGTTTATTTATACAGTGCCTGGGCATTTCCGGGAAAGTATTTTGAGAATGTTTAGGCATTAG